GGAAGCAGCCCTTTGTCAGTGTAGTTGACATGCCACCAGATAGGGTGACCCTGAGCACAACAGCAGCATAAGTGTGGGCACCATTGCAGTACTAACCTGCTCCTAGGATAGCTGGAGGTCCTGGTGGCCCTGGGGGTCCCGGTGGCCCAGGAGAACCAGGTCTTCCAAAGCCAGGTGGCCCAGGTAGGCCAGGAACACCTGGGGGTCCCTGGGGCCCAACGATAGTCTCCCCTTTCTGACCCTGTGAAGGCAAGGGCACAGGAACAGAAGAGAGAAAGCAACATTAATCACTAGAAATCCCCCCTATTCTTTTTAAGAGGACATTTGTAAGTAATCAATAAATACTAGCTATTGTCAACATTATCCTCAATCTTGGGCACAACTCGAGTGGAGTATGCCCAGTCACTGTGTTGAATGACACTCCAGAGTACCCGAGAGAGCCCCAAACTAGAAGATCATCTACCCTAGCCTTTTCAGTTCACAGATAAAGAAGCTGAGATCTAGATTGAGGACAAGACTTTACCAAAGCAAACGGAAGTGGATCTGGAAGTAGAACCCTGGACTCCTGGCTTTGCTGAGTCTGCCCTCATGGCAGGCTCTGGGACCAGAGTTTGCTTATGATCCCTGAGGGTCAGTGATCTCATCATACTCTTATTAGAGGCATAACTCGATTTCCTCTTTTGTGACCTGGAGAAATTTGTCAGCCCAAGAAGATCAAGCCCATCTAAGAGCTTCCTCTTTGATGAAATTTCAAAAGAATGAAATCGCCCCTCTGAAAAATGCCTCCCTCACCTTCCATTCTGTCTCCACTATCTGATGTGTTCACTATTAACATCTCTTCATATTCAGCAATTTCCCACCGTTAACATGAACAAGGCAGCCCAGTTAGAGACCTGGAAGTAACTTGAATGCTTATGGCCTTGGCCGGCTCCCTGTCTTTCGTGGGCCTCAGCCAAGTCCGCCTCAGTCAACAAGAGGCTGATGCCCAAGTCCCACCTCAGCTTGTGGCTAATGACTAACTCTTGACTCTCCAACTGCCTAGTCACATTGGGGGGTTTCAGGGAAAGCGGTGACTTGACAAGGAAGGTGGCGTGGAGGGGTCACTACTCACAGCCAGGCCTGGGCTTCCTGGCCGGCCTGGAGGTCCTGACACAGAGAAGTCGCCGATAGAGTCTCCTTTTTCTCCTTTAAACCCCCTGTCTCCATTCTCCCCCTGGAAGCAGAGCACATTCAAAGAACATTTAGTACGAGTAGGAAGAACCAGTCTTTGACATACACCTGAGAACTTGGAAACACAGGCCCAAATTTAAGAGACAAATACTCACCTTCAAGCTGTTTATAAAATGTCTTAGGTAAGCTGGGTCCATTGGAGGGCCTGCAAAAGAAACGCACAATCTCAGAAATTTACAAAGAAAAGGCGCCACGTTGGCACCCATGATTATTTCCCAGTGGAAGTGACTCTGCATTGATTTAGCTAACAGAGTGGGCACTGGGCTTGGAGGCCGAAACAGTCCTGGCCTGGATTCCCACCCCAGGCACTGTGGGATCTTGGCACACCCCTTTACGCCTCGTTTGGCATATGAAGCATGAATAATAGGAACTTCTAGTCTCTCCTGACAATGTTCCATCTTGGACATGTCACCCATGACTGGGTCTCTCTTCAACTCTGTGCAGCTTGCGGTCAGGGTGGTTATGGAATTAGTCTTACTTTTTGGCTCAGTTGGGTTTCTCAGGGACAATAGTCAAAGGCAAGATCTAGCCCAAGAGTTGAAATACCTGGTGGTCCCTGGGCCCCCTGGTCGCCTTTTTCTCCTTTGGAGCCTGGAAGACCCCAGGTTCCTTTTTCTCCTTTAACACCTGCCACCAAATACACATACATTAAAAAAAAAAAAGTGGAAAATTATCTTCATTTTATATAAAACATTTTTGAGACAAGTTTTTCAAATTGAGCCCCTTTCGCAAAGTCCACTCAATGAACAAAGGCCTATTAAGAGTGTAAAATCCTTCTCTGACTGATGGTGAAGACAGAGGTAGACACAGCTGACCTTGAAAGGCTTGGTCTCGGGGAGACAGACACAGTGAAGCGTAATGGGAGGCAGGATGGGTAATGGAATGTGCCATCATGAAAACACCAGCAGTGCATCATGGGAGCCCAGCAGAAGCTGGTTAACTCTCTCCCACAGCTTCACACACATGCCCGAGGCTCCACACCAAGTCAGGCCTACAGCCTCTCCTCGCCTATGCCTGTGCAGCACGGTGGTGTCAGGGGATGACAGAGTTGAGAGATGCCAACTGTGTGACCCCCTACTCCCCACAGGGCTTGTGAGAAGCACCCTTTCTGCAGAATTGGCATCACAGGCAACCCATTCCCCCAACTCTTTAGAAGGGAGAGAGGCATGAGCTCCTTCTGGGATTTCAGCATTTAGGAAAAGAAGTGACCCCTCCCCCCACCTAGATGAGTGGTGGACACTACATTGTTGAATTCCTGGTTCCCAAGAGGTCTGAGAGATCAACTGACCGCCGCCCTTGAACCTAGAGACGGGCACACAGCGTAGATGAAGTTTGGGGCTCAGTTTCCCAGCACGAGGGTGGGGAACGGGAAGAATGTTATCAGGGGCATGATGCTGCCAGCTGGGGGTCAGTGGGAGAGGCAATCACACTCGGCCAGGCCTCACTGATTGGGGAGGGGGGCTGAGGCCAGGACCTGGGAGCCTCCACCGGACCACAGTGAGACCACAGACAGTGGCGCTGCCCCGAGAAGAGGACAGCCAGCTCACCACTGCCCATGTGGCTGCTCATCGAGGGCGCAGGGTAGACCCACAAGTAAGAGGGAGGACAACCGGCTCACTAGGGCCTGCATCCAGACAAGTCTGCTCCCTCCCCTTCCTCCCAGAGAAACTCTGTGAGGAAGGGGAAGCACTGGGGATCTGAGAAAGTAAATCCACATCCACCCGTCCTCCCCAAGGCCCACCTTGCAGCAGGAGGAAGGGAAAGCCTTGAACTGGATCTGAGCATGGAGTCTGAAAACAGCCTGGACTTTGTAACCAAAGTGACAGAAAGCCACGGGGCCAGATATCACCAGGAAGACCACCACCTGGTGGGCTAAGGGTGACAGAGCCCAGCCAGAGGTCAGTATTGGAAAGAAAAAAAAGGCTTCCTCTGTTTAAACTGCAAGTGTTCAGACTTCTCAATCAAAAGGGGGACAAAGGGGTGTGTGGGGACAGAGGACCAGACTGAGCGCTCACCTGCGTGCTCAGTTTCCGGAACTTTCCCTCTCTCTGTGTGGTAGATGAGCTCCCACAGGCCTTGAACTTGCTAACCAAATGCTCAGAGCCAGGGCTTCTCATACTTTACTGTGCTGCACCCCAGCAGGACGCTTGTTAAAATGCAGCTTTGACTCAGCAGGTCTGCAGGGAGGCCGAGGGCCCTGCATTTCTAACAAGCTCCTAGGAGATGAAGATGCTGCTGGTCCAAGAACACTTTGCAGCAAAGGTTTTCTGGGCTCCCCTGGCCCTGCCCTGTACTAGCTCTTGATATACTGCATTGTGGTGATTTTTAAACTACGCTCACCTAACAGTGCCTACGGGCCTGGGTGGCAGGAATGGTGGAGGATTCACTTGTCTCAGCCCAGTGCGTGGGACAGCACCAAGCAAGGAGGATTCAGTGGATGCTTTATGAATAAACTAACAAATGGACAAATGGAGTGCTTCCTGCTAACTTGGAGGCTCAGCCAAGATGTGTAGGATAAACAGATGGGTGACAGAACCAAACAGAAATGCCCTGTCCCACAGCCTTTGCTCAGCTGTGAGCCCCTCCTAACACATGCAGCCAGTTCTTCCTGATCACCGAGTCTATGCCCATGGATGAATAAAAACGACCCCAGCAGAGGCACGAGGGTCTGGAAATATCCCAGGGAAATGTAAGGTGAAGGAGGGAGTGTGTACCGTGAAAGGTGATGAGTTCTGAATTCCCAGGATGAGCCGTACCAACCTGGAGAGAGAAAGGCAAAGTCATACATGTGAACCCTGTCCTGGTGTTTGCATGCACAGGTAGCCACTGTCCCCTGCTCCGGGGGAGTGTGTGGCAGGAGGAGCAACGTCATGGAGTCAGGCCTCCTGGCCAAACAACTCTGCAAAGGGGAAGCCCAAAGATTTAAGACAATAAATGGCAGCAGGGTTGGTTTGGCCAACCATGAGTATTGTTGGCCTCCTTTTTTTTTTTTTAATCAATGAATTGATTCACGTGAGAGGTCAAGCTAGTGATGTACCTAGCCATGAAGCTGGGATGCCATTAGTTTGGCTACTGCGTATGGTCAGGAATGAGCATAATGAACAGGAACTGAGGATGGTGGTAATCAACAACGGGGGTGGGGGGCGGTTATCATTAGGCTGGGAGGGCCTGGACATTGTCCATGTCTAAACTTTGTGCCTGGGGTCTGGAGTCCAAGCTGATCCCAGTTCACTCCCAGATTCCTGCATTTCTTTACCTCTTAGAACAGAGCCGCTTGCCACCATGCTTTTAATAGTCTGTCTTCACTTTTTTCGCAGTTGATATGTGGAATCAGAATGATCCCTCTGGTGCCAGGATTCCCCTAAGCTTTTGGGTGGAGGGTCACAAACTGCTCAGGGGTCACTGATAGAAGATGGGGGAAGGGAAGGGAGGGGACTCTTCATGGAAAAACATTTCTAGGTTAAGGATGAAAGCCCCAGCGCCAAGCTGATATCTTGTGGTTTTGCTGGTAAAGTCCCTCCACTCCAGGCATGAGCTGTAAATTGCGATGGTTGGGAAGGGGCTGTACTTCAAAGGGGTTTGCGCAATGCTGGATGTGAAAGGAAGCATTTCTCTTTCAAGTGTCCATTTTGAGAGCTGGTCAGGAATGTCGCTGGCCCAGCCCCCGTGGTGTCCAGCAGCATGAAATAAAAACACTCTACAAACATGCTCTGATCTCCTCTCTGGCTTCTTTTAAGTAACGTCTAGACCCCCACAGGCCATGTTTACTAAAAAGGGTCCTAGTCCAGGTCATGGTCATTGCAGTCACATTTTTATAATACTCTCAAGTGCTGTCCCATGATAAAAAGGGTCCTAGTCCAGGTCATGGTCATTGCAGTCGCATTTTTACAATACTCTCAAGCGTGTCAAGTGCTGTCCCATGGTTGGTCCATTAGAAACCTGGAATTGTTATCTGGGAGGCCCTCTGGGCACTAACTCAGTCTCCCCTTCTGTACCATAGGAGGTGGGATGCAGCCATCGCTCCGGAGGGTTCCTCTAACACTGATGTTTTATGTTTCTGTTCAGTCCATCAGCGTAAACATGACCTGGCGTGCTGTTGTCCTCGCATAGATCCGGGCCCCTTGGTCGCCTTACACAGGTGGGTCCTGTCCTCTGCCTTCCAGGCCAGAGTTCCCAGGTCCTGGGCTGCAGACTTGGGTGCCTCAAAGTTTAGACATGGACAATGTCTAGGCAAACACACCGCCAAGCTGCATCATTTTAGAGCCTTTGATCCAAGCCTTCTCACCACCTCAACAGGCATCAATTATGAACCCACTTTAAGGAATCTTTTAAAAATTTTAATTAATTTCTTTAAGGAATCTTTCTAAATTGTCATTTGCAAGCTCCTGAGAACAGAGGCCATCCCTGTGTAGTTCACCCCTGTGTCCCCAGGGCCTAGTGGGGTACTTAGCATTCGGTAAGTACTCAGTTAATATCTGTTGAATGAGCAAGAGAATGATTACGCACAGCTCCATGACTAATGTTTGTGCATAGAGACCCAGCTTCCTGGGTTTCCCCATAGAAACGGGATTCTCCCAATACTGCTGAGACCTCAGGGACAGTGCCACTGACTACCTGGGTGGCCAGTCACGTGCCTGATCCCCTGGGTCACAGTGCCTGCACCTGCTGCCTGGTGGTCAGGGGAAGTGAGTAACAGTTCCAGATCTGTCAGTCCTGTGACCTTGAACAAGTCAGTGAGCTCGTCTGAGTCAGTTTGCCTCCTCATTATAAAAGAGAGAGAGAAGCCTGCCTCTCAGGTGGTGTGCTGTGTGGTAATATCACAACTGGGAAAGGACAGCACACGGTCAGTTAGAGATTTTAGCCCAGAGTTCCCAATGCAAAGAGCACTGACTGAATTGCTTATTTTCTTGTCTATATTTTAAAGATGTCTATTTCCCCCTATCATACTGCTCCAAGCATGAATCTAATATGGTTACGATAACAAAAGACACTGCTTTTTTTTATTGCGCTAAAGAAACACTGTCGGCCTGTGTACCCTTAGAAGACCCTGTATGTTTCATTGCCACAGTCTGTTATCTAGAAGCTTCTGGTCACTGAAGGGTCTATATGTAAGTGATACAAGACATCAAAGAGGACACTGATGGGTAAAAAGGGCTCAAGACAAAGACCGATCGTCTTCTCTGAGTTGCTTTCTGTGCCAAAGCCTGCTCTTTATGACAGTGACCATATGCTACTTACTGGCATCTTGCAGTGTGGCCGGGCTGGTATGGGGAAGACAGCCTGTGGGAAGTGAGGACAAGAGAAGTGAGGCCATCGGGACATCTGACTTGGGCTTAGGTCAGTTTGGTGCCCACTACCCCCTGAAGGTCTCTACCCTTCCCCGCCCCCACTTACTCCTTTGATGTTAATCACTGCTCCCGGCGGTCCAGGGGGGCCTGGAGGACCAGGTACGCCAGGTGGGCCCTGAGGAAGAAAGGCCATTCCTGAGTTCAGGTTGTTGTGAGTGCAGAGGCAGCTGCAGGATACTTTCCCCAGGTTTGGGGGACACAATGAGGAAAGGAGGACCCTCTAAAGCCAACTAATTTCTCCCATAGATAAGCCAGTCCCGTCTACAGAGCACGTCTACATAGTTGACCTCATTGCATCTTCACAACAACCCATGGGGAAGATAGCAGAGCAACAAGTATTATCTCTGGTTGACAGATGGATGATGAGGTCCAGAGAGGGGAAGTGACCTGCTCGAGGCCACACAACAACTCATGGCAGAACTGAGATCGGAACCCAGATTCTGACTCCAAGAGCCATGCTCAGCTGATACGGAGCCCACCACCTCTCTATCAGCACATCCCTAGTGTGGAGCGACAAGTGAGGTGGGGTGGGGGGGGGGGAGGGTGGTCCTTCATGTGCTGTGGTACCTCAGAGAGTGCCTCATAAATGCAAAAATAAATGCAAAGCTCTTGCTGGGTAGCACAGTTATTTTCAAAGCCAGGTCATCCTGGCCTAAACCCCATGCAGTGTTTGCTCCTCTAAGCCTGGATCCCAAGCAGGATGTCCCAGCAGGAGGGGCGAGGCTCCGACCCAGGCATGAGGCATCTAGCCCACTCTGAAGCTGCACGGATCATCCTAAGGGCAGGCATCGGTGTCTGCTTTTCCTAGTAGCCCCAGCAGGCTTGATGGCTACGAGTTACTTCCCCAATGCTTCAGTAAAGTTGTTTGTCTGGGTTTCTAGACATACAAAGCAGAGACAGTGTGGTGCAAACAGAAGCAGCAACGGACTTAGAGCTGCATTGGCACCTTAGCTTGGTGACCTTCAGTGAGTCACTTAACTTCTACAGGTCCCTGCTTCCTCTTGTGCAAAACAAGGACCCCACCTAGTGTCTCTTAGGATAGTTATTACCAAGACTGAGATAATATCCTTAAGAGGACATGGTACAGTGTCTGGTACACAGTAGGTGCTCAATAAACTTTGGCTTCCTTATTCCAGACCCTTGTTCCCTGCTGATGCCCCCAGTGTCTGCCATCCTGTGAGCCCCACCTAAGTAGCTGATCTACCTTTGTTATTCTCTCACAAGCATTTACGGAGGCCTTAGTGATGTGCAAAGCCCCTGGGACCAGGTATCACCCAAATCAGAAGACCTGGGATTTGAAACCAGCTTTCCTGAGCATGCGCACATGGCGGTCTCCCACCTCCCTCTGGGGTCTGGATGAGGAAGCTTATGCTACATTTCACTAAGGGGCTTTGGTGGGAGGAACCCTGGGAGTGAGCTGGAGGACAGAGTTGGGCTGGAGGACGTTTGGAAGTGGCAGTGGAGGAAGAAGAAAACATTCCTGAACATTATATCCACAAGCCTTGCTCATTGGACCTGACACTCTCTCCTCTGGACACTGGCCTTGGGGGCTCTGTCCCCAGGGTGGTGTGGGGCTGGAGCCAGGGCTGTGGCACTCACCGGCATCATGACGCCTCGGTCTCCTTTGGCACCCTTGAAGCCATTCAGTCCTGGGCGACCCTGAAACCCACAGAAGATGCCTTAGTAAAACCACTGCCCACCGGCCAGCCTGGCCCACGTGTCCTCTCTCACGTCCAGTCCAAGTAACACCAACACCTACAGGTCGTCCGGGGAGGCCAAATTCTCCTTTGTGTCCTGGCGGTCCTTTGGGCCCCTAGAGGCAAAACAAATACCAACCAGATCAGAAAAGAACAGAAACTCAAGGGCCAGGGAGATGGGGGGCACCCCACCTGCCATTGTGGGCAGTGGTGACGGTGAACCACCGACGGGAGGAAGGAGGGCAAGGAGCAAGTATGAGGTATCCACCTGCCTGCTCCTTGTCTCCCAGCCTCTCTGTGCTCAGCTGGAAGCACATGCTCAACCCATCACCGCCCCACACCCTCCTGTAAGCTCTACCCCACCCCAGTCTCTGCACCCAACTCTCTCAGACAGTCAAGCTAATGAAGGAACCCAGGTAGCTAGACGCTGGCCAGCTCAGAACATAGACCTTTGCCCTAGGTCTTATGTCCCAGGGCTCTCCATGGCCCCCATTGGAATAATGCAGCCCTGCCTCACCCCTCATTGCAGCCTGTCCTGATAACCTGCTCCAGTACCTGGTTTCTGCCTTGTTCCTACCTGTCCCTAAGGACCTGAACCTTGGCCTGGCACCCCAATTCTCCTGCACCCCATTTATTCCAGGGCTGGCTTTCTATGTCCACATGCTTCCAGAGCCACCACCCTGTTCTAACCTCCTGCAGGAACCTTCATGCCTTCTGACATACTGGGTGCTCGCAATGCACCACCTCTTCCCAGAACAAGCTCTACCTCCAGGCCACGCCTTCCCACTCTTGTAGTCAGTTTGCCCTGTCTCCCAGGAGTTTGACTGGCGTAAGCCTGGGGCCCATCTTCCTGCTGCTATTAACATAGATAATCATGCCCTGGAAAATAGCAATTAAAGACTGAGTTGAAACAGGCCCTGTGTGTAAAGCACCCAGCCCAGGTTACTCTTAGGGAAAGAAAAGCAAGGACAGAGGAGTTAACAAGACATGGGACACCAGGTGGTATGTTCTAGTGCAGAGCTCCTCAAACGTCACTGTGGATCACCTGAGATCTTATGGAAATGCAGATCCTGTAGGTCTGGGGTGGGGTCTGAAGCTCTGAATTTCTACCGAGCTCCCAGCTACTGATCCATGGGCCATGAGTAACAGGGCTCTAGTGAGTTTGTAAGGGAACTCTAAGCTACACTAGTCACAAGGGCCACAGCTGGCCCACGTGGCACCTTTATGCAAGTTAGAAGAAGAAGGTGCCCCCTTACTGTCTGCACTTGGCAAGCTGTGCATAAGCTGGACTTGGTGGGAACAACTTCCTTGGTCACCTGCTGCAGACTGTGGCCAGCATTGCTAACTATAGGTGTTTCCCATAGTATTGGATGTTAGTTAAGTGGTTAATCAGTAACACATGACTCTCCCAGTCTGCCTTAGCCTTTAGCTACCCCTCTCCAGAGCATCCATTCTGCCTGGTGTAAGGGACCAAGGCCTCAGAAGGTCCTGTGAAGAAATGCACTGTGGATGTTATGGGCTATTCATCAAGGACATATGTCTGTTAGCAATGTAGGTCCTTTCTCCCCAGGCCTCAGATCCAGCTTCAACCAAAAAAAAAAAAAACCAGCCTAAAAGGTCTCAGAAGAATGAAGGTGTTTGTTGGAGGTAGTGGGGTGTAGTGATCAAAACCTGGATTCAGAGTCCAGCAGGCTGGGTTCAGATCCCTGTGATGCCACTTACAAGCTGTGTGACAAAGGGCAAGTGACTTAACCTCTTTCACCTCCATTTCCTGGTCTATAAATTGGGGATTCTGATAATCACCTCTGAAGGCGGTGAGGATGAAATGAATGAGCTGTGTGAAGTATCAGTACAGCATCTGACACATAGTGGATGGTTCTACACCTGAATTTTCTTCGTTTTTTTTGGAGGAAAAAAGATAGGGAAGTTTAGGGTTCATCTTGGGGAACTGGTAGCTTAAAAACTGTTCAGCAGCCCAATGGATTATAGATTCCTGGAGAAGTAAGGCAAGAAAGGCGCTACCCTGTCATCTAGTACTAACTCAATACTCTCCCTTACAGATGGGAAAAGGGACGCCCAGAGAAGAGGACTTGCTCAAGGCCTCACAGCAAATGAGCAGCAGATCCATGTCCAGAACCCACAAAGCCCAAAGTGACTTTCTGGGTTCCTTTGGGGGGTTCCCTGGGCAGTGGCAATCTTTAGCTGGCAAGACCTGTGATGTAACCATGAGTGCTCACCACCATCCGGTTCTCCTCTCCCTCCTGGACACACAGCTAAGCCATATTTCTGAGGCCCCACCCACCCAGACAACTGGGTTCTGGCCAGCAGAATGTGCTAGAAATGATGTTCCTCATCTTCCATGATCTCTTTCCACCTCCTCAGCCTTGGCCTACCAGCTGGAATATGTCAGTGTGGCCCTGAATCCACAAGATGGCAGAGTCCCAGTAGACTGCAAGCATCCTGGGTCCCTGAGTCTCTTCTTGGAGGGAACATGCCCAACTAGGAGCAACCATAGTGGACTTCATGCTGCTGTTGTGTTAAGCAACTGAGATTTTTATTTAATTGCAATCAGCCTACCCCAACACACACACACACACACACACACACACACACACACACACACACACACGCACACACATTTTATCACGTCCTTTTTATTTTCACAACTGGGACAACTCAGTCTAATTAAACTAAAGTACGAGAATTGCCTCAAACCCCAGTCCAGACCCAGCTGAGAGACACTCTGGCTTACCATTGGTCCTGGGGCTCCGTGGACTCCAGGTTCACCCTGAAACAGGGAGACACAGACTAGTCACCCAGAGGAACATAATTTGTGGCAGAGACAGAGATGGGATATCAAAGAGGATGTGTGCCTTCAGGGTCTGGTGACATAATTACCTTTTCCCCCCTCAGCCTTTCCAGAGGAATGTCCCCTGTCAGGATGGCGCCCGGCTCTCCCTTCTCGCCCTGCAATTCAGAGAACATTTCAATGAAGTTGGACTCCTTCTCACTGCCTTATCCAGAGACTCCCCAAGGCCTCTCAGTCCCACAGCCATGACTTCTGTTGTTGCCTTCATCCCAGCCCTCCAACCCCACTGCTTGGCTCAGACACGACCCTCACTAGAGTGCTGTAATAGCCTCCTAAGCGACTGACCGTTCTCTGCTCTATTCCCTCCCCTCCATGCACCCTCCTAGGCTGGGATGCTGCCAGCCATCCAGGGCTCACAGACCGACATCCTCACTCTCCAGCAACCAGCCCAACAAGGTCCTCCCCTCCTCTTGCTGCACGGCATCCCCGGGAACCTCTGACTCCTAATGTATTTGGTGACTTGCTTTCCTAACAACTTGACTCAAGATCTGTTCCCACCAAGAATCCTTATTCCTATTAAAACTTCTGAAATTGGGCCCTAACCGGTTTGGCTCTGTGGATAGAGCATCAGCCTGCGGACTCAAGGGTCCCAGGTTCGATTCTGGTCAAGGGCATGTACCTTAGTTGCGGGCATATCCCCAGTGGGGGTTGTGCAGGAGGCAGCTGATGGATGTTTCTCTCTCATTGATGTTTCTAACTCTCTATCCCTCTCCCTTCCTCTCTGTAAAAAATCAATAAAATATATTAAAAAAAAAAACTTCGGAAATTGGGAAGGAGATGAAGGTATGAACACCAGAGGCCTCTCTCAACAAAGGGCCCTGTGTCTCCATGGGGAACTTTGCCTCCAAACTCAGGCTCCTGTGCAACTGGACCAGGCAAAGTTTCTCAGTTGTTAGGAAACAGGGGAGGTGGCAGGAACACAGGGTCCTGCCCTCAGCAGAGCCATCTACTAAATCAGAAGGCTTCCAAGAAGGTATGTGTCCCAAGCAAAGGCCAGGGAGAGAAACCTTCTTTATCACTCCGAGGCTTTGGCCCCAGATTCCATGCTGGCCCCTGGGGAGCTGGGCTGACCATGTTCAACTCTCCCTCCAATGGGCCAGAAGCAGCAAAAGCAAGCAGAGCAGCCTCTTCTCTCCGTCCCCCAAGCCCACACCTGACATTAGGGTCTTACCACTCCGCAGGTGAGGAAAGGCAGTCCTGAGCACGCCAGCAGCAAGAAGAAGCAAGTACAAAAGCATTAGAGGCAGAGCAGGAGAAAGCGAGTGTTCTGTTAGGACTGGAGCAGAGCTGCCTGGGTGTCCAAGGTGGCAGGGGTTAGGGGAGGGTCCCTCTAGATCCATCTCACCTTATCACATAGAAAACGAGTGTTTGAAGCAAGAGCTGCTCTTCCTTGACCAGGCCCCTTCCCAAGCCAGAGCTGCCCTGGACCTATCCCATCTCCATAGCCCCTGGCAGCAAAATATCCCAAGACATCACCCCAGGTGGCACCGAACTTAGACCCCATTCCCTGCACACTGAACTCTCCACCTCCTGGAATTATGGTCCAACAGACACTGGAGGCTCCTCCTTGGAGCTGGTGTGGAATGGTGGGGGGAAGGAAGAAAGAGAGAAGCCTAACACTTCCTAGCCATTCCTCCTCGTAGAGACACCCCACCTCAATTCCCCAAGGAAGGCTCAGGGGTTGCTCCCACTGGCTTTGCACGGACCTCCATTACAGCAATGACCATACTTTCTATTGGCTCTTTGCATGTCTATTCCTCATATCTTATTTCTATATCCCTAGTGCTCCTTACAGGAATTTGGCTGGAATGGATAGAAGATAGACAAGTTCATAAATGGATAGATGAATAAATGCATCCATCCCAGAGTCTTTGCAGTCTGTTTATGGATGTCACTTCCACCCTTATCTATAAACCCAACTGGGAAGCTAATTCTCAGAGGCACATGTGCAGGGTACAAAGGCCAGTGCAGTACTCTGGAAATTCCCAGGACATGTTCTGCATATCAATATTTATTCCAAAGATTCTGGACCAAGACTGCCATTCATTATACATGCTTTCATCCAACAAGTCTTTTGAGTGCCATTTGTGTACCAGGCCCTGTGCTAAGAACTGGAGCTACAGAAAAAGAACTGGCTGACGTCTGCCCTTAGGGAACGCACACTCTCATGGGGGTGCCCACCAGGCAGTTAGACAAAGCACAGCACATGTGATGACACATTCAAGGGAGTGTTGGTTGAGTCTTTTTCCAAACTCGGATGAAAATCAATTTCTCCACCCACAACCCACCTTCACTCTGGAGAAACCTTGAGATCACGAAAGTTAACAGCTGGAAGAGTGATTGCTAACAGATATGGATTTTCTTTTGGGCGTGATGAAAATGTTCTGAAATTAGGTAGTGGTGATAGTTGCACAACCTTGTGAATATACTAAAACAATGAATTTTACAATGTAAAGGGGTGGATTTTATGGTATGTGAATTATATCTCAAATTTTAAAAAATGATGTTACCTTCAGCCAATTTGAAATGTTTAGTAAATTCTAGAGCATGACCCCACCCAGACACCTGGGCCCCTCTTACCTGTTCTCCTTTGAGTCCTGGAAATCCAGGCACACCGGTGTCACCTTTTGGTCCTCTAGGGCCCTAGAAGGAATCATTGAAGGGCATTTTGTTGTTTGTTAAGATTGAAGAGCTTTATCCAAACGGAAGTATTTTTTTTTTCAAAAAGTAGAACAATAGAGTGCCATTCTCCTGGTAGATATGAATCATGATATTTTATTGATTTTAAGTGGTCTAGAAATTGTGATCTGGTGGAAAGAAGACAGCACTGAGCGTTAGGAGGCCCGGCGGCCCTATGCCTCTTTGAACTTTGGGTTTCTTAAAGGGGCACTATGGAAACTGCCCGGTCCTGCTGCCTCTGCCTCCACATGGGTCCTCCAGGCCATCCTGCAGCCCACCTCTCCCCTCCATTCAGCTTCCATGACTCCCCTCCCTGCTCTGGCTCCCTATTACCTGTGGGATGGTATCTAGAAATCTTAGCTTGATACCCAAACCCATCCCAGCCAGCCTCAGAATCTGGTCTTTCACTCCCCACCATACCACCGGGAGTGAGCCTTTTCCCCTCACCCTCTCCACACTCCCTGCTGCCTTTGCATGTCTGCCCATGCCATTCCTCCTGCATGAATGCCCATCTGCCCCTTTGTAGAGCCAAATTCTGCACACCCAACGGTGACGTCTTCCCAACTCCAGCAGACACTTACTATCTGTGACAATGACTCATATAACCAGACATCTGCCCCCAAAGACCTTTCAGCACTATTGCTATTTGGCTTTTCACAAGTCCCTGTCTTGTCTTCTGTGTTAAAGGGTGAGATACCCTGTAGAACACTTTCTACACAGAAATGCACTTTCACCTTCCGTGGTGGAAGCCCCCGAGTGTGGGGCACATAGATTTAATTACTGGATGTCTAGTCTATGCTGCCCCTCTCCCAGTCCCCATTGCCACCATCCTCTCTGTAGGAACTTTATCTACTGTATCGACTTGAAATGCTTGGCTTGCATAGGAAGTCAACATGCGTAGGAAGCCAACCACTGGCTGGCCCTTGGGTAGAGAGAGATGAGTGACCCAACCCTCCATAAGGTGGTTACAGTGCAGTCGAGGCAAAAAGACAAGGACACAAATAACTGTTACTCAAGGCAGAAAAGGACCACAGCAAAGGTGAAAATAAAGCCCCATGGGGCTGACCAGAGTGGAGGGTCACTCAGGTGGGGGCCAACAAGGAAAGGTTACATGAACAAGATGGCACTAGAGCTTGGTCATGCAGATGGAGAAGAGCATTCCCGGTGGAAGGAACAGAATGAGTGCAGCCATGGGGCACAGAGGGAAGACAGTTACTGTGGTACTTACTGGAAACCCTGGAAGCCCAGGATTGCCGTCCGGGCCCTGTGACACAACAAAGACAAAGCAGGTGTTTTAGGGGCAGCATTTCCAGAGCCAGCAGGAGCGCTGCATCTCTGGGGCCCACCCCCTCTCAAAGACTTATGCATGTTCCCGCACAGTGGGGCTCACGATCCATTTTGCAGAAGAGGATGCTGAGGCCCAGGAGAGAATGGAACTGGGCAGTCACACAGCTGGTCAGTGGCAGAGCCAGGAACTGTGCACAGGTGCCCAGAGCCCCTGCCCCCCAGAGCCAGGAACTTTGCACAGGTGCCCAGAGCCCCTGCCCCCCAGAGCCAGAACTGTCTGCACTGTAGGTGGCTGCCTCCTCTTCCATGAAATTGCTCAGCATCTGAAAACTCTGAGGTGATGAATGCTTCACTGGACTTTGACGAACACTCTCAGAAGATAGGTTCCTAAACTGAGGAATGGGGCCAAAGGGTATTCTGGGCTGTGTGAGGGTGGAAGTGGGGGCATGTGGGTGAGACTCAGGTCTTTTCCCAGGTAGGAGTGAGAATTTTAAAGGACCAGTCATTTGAAAGGCCCTGGGATGCAGTGAGTTTGTGGTTCACTCCACATGGGGCCAGGACTCTTCTTCCTGCCAGCCCAGGTACCCACATACCTATTAAAGGCAGAATATATAGACACACACACACACACACACACACACACACACACACACACAGATATCCAGAGAGCAACATGTTTATCAATATACTGTATACACAGCGGGGTCGAAAAGCATGAAGGCACTGGTTAGGACTTGAATCTTCCCAGGGAGGGAATTGCCCTGAGCAGGAAAATCCTGACCCTCCATTAGGGATGAAGGGCCCCTGTGGGTCTGGACTTGCTGAAAAGGAGAGGGGGTGGGAAGGAAGGCGGATTCTAGGGGTGGGGGCAGGGCAATGCAGGCAGACAAGGCCCATCTTAGAATGGAGATGCCGAATCTTCAATTTTAGTCTGTGTTTTGCTTTAGTATCAACTCACCAACGCCTAAACCTCCAATAGTTTGGGGAAAACCAAGACCTCTGTGAACTGACTTTTGCTTGTTAGCTCGTTTGCTTTAGGGTTTGATTATTGGGGTGCTCTGGGTGATTTTAGTAGAAATCAAGGAAAGGAGGCCCCATTGGATATAGCACAGAAGAGATAACACAATGACCTGCTAGCAGCAGGAGATACCAGCTCTAGAGGAACCTCCCAGATGTTTGCAGAGGGCACTGAATGGTGGGGTTCAGGCCACCCTCACTGGGGACTGCAGGAGTGGGTGGCCCAACAGATATCTGGACTGCACAGCTGTGGAAGTATATGCCTCAATCTCCATGTCAGCTACACAGAGTGCCACAGTTTGCAAAGCAGTTTCATATCCACAGCCTCTTATAAGCTGCCCCCAAACTAGTGAGGTGTTCTCAGAGAAAGACTCCGAGTGGTGTGTAGCAGAGATGGGCTGGAACCCCAAGGCTTCTACGGCTAGAGCTCTCCCCTCTGTCCCCAGCTGTCATGAGCAGATGTGGAAGATGCAATGGGATTCATTGCACAGGCTGCAGGAGGAGGCTTCCTTCCTCTTAAGTCCTATTGTGCCGTGGACCGAGCCTGTGGACTTGCAGAAAAATAATGTCGCTTCTTTGTGTGTCCCTGGTGTCTCAAATGGGCCTAGAAAGACGGAAGCAAGTCATGTTCCCTCCTCTTGTGCCATTTTTCCCATTAGCACAGATAGGTTTCTCTAATCTCTTCCTGTTGCGTGAAATGAGATCACGTAAATAAAAGCAGGCCAAAAGCGCTTCCACAGACGTCAATCGGGTTATTACCGATGATTCTCTGATTTCCATCGCACACATTTATGATGCGCAGGATTGGAAGCTTCCTCTGCACTGGACAACACTCCCTGCATGATCCAACTAACGTGATAGCAACTTCTCAGAATGCAAAGTTCTCTTTCCGCTCTACTTGGATATAGTCTAGCTCTATGCAAACCAACCCGACCTAGTTTCAACAGGGACATCTGGGTGGGAACCTCACTCTAGGCCAGCCGGATCCGGCCCGTTTGAAATGAATAAAACTAAAAAAAAAAAGACCGTACCCTTTTATGTAATGATGTTTACTTTGAATTTATATTAGTTCACACAAACACTCCATCCATGCTTTTGTTCCGGCCCTCCGGTCCAGTTTAAGAACCCATTGTGGCCCTCGAGTCAAAAAGTTTGCCCACCCCTGCTCTAGGCAGCTGTGGATACATACCGGAGGCCCAGTGAGCTCGGGAATGTCGGAGAGATTCATGAATCCGTGGGTCATGTTGATCAAAGACTGAAAAGAGAAAAAACCAGACAATGAGACAGAGGGTGGCACATGTTCCACCATGTTCCTGGCAGCAAGGCTTTAATTAAACTCAGCCAGCATGGCAGAACGCGGGCAGGCTGATGACACCCTAAACCCACTGCCAGTGCACGCATGCCTCCCACTGCTTAAAAACAGCTCGGAGCTGCCTTATCACTTTCCTCTTTCAATCAATCTTAAGATTGCACAACACATGAATGCTTTCTCTCTTTCCAAATT